GCGCCCGCGGGGGCTCTGCGCCGGCTGGGGGCAAACTGCTCGCCAAGCTGCCAGCTGAGCAGTGACGCCCCCGCCCCTTAGCCGAGGGCTGAGACCTGGTTGAAAAAGACGGTCATGCCTAGAGCAGCCGTGCTCTAGCCAGAAGTAGCAAGGCAGCTGCTCCACAGGGCGAATTACTGATTAATTTGGTTTAAAAAAAGTGATCCGGAAGGATCACTGTATGAGCTGAGCAGAGTGGAGAGCATCAGCAGGTGGTGGTAGGAACAGCCTCACCGCCACTCCAGGAGGAAAAGGCTACCCAGACACAAGGTTGCTCAAGGTAGGGTACAAGGGGATACGGCCAAGTCTCCTCTCCAGCAAAAAGGCACTCAAAGCGGAGCTGCAGGAGACGCCCCAGAGAAGAGCAAACAGATCAGCAGTTGCTTCAGAGCTGTTTCAAAACGGGAGCAGCTCTCCCTCTTCCATGACCTCAATTTTAAGAGAGGCAGGATTTAATCTAACCTAGATAATTGCAGGCTGCTACCAAAGGTTAATTTTGCTCTGTAGCCTTCTCCCCAGGCTGCTGTCTCTGGCCAGATCTGGTAATTGGGCACCTACAGAACAGGTCAGTTCTGCTTGCTGATTGAATAAAACAAATTATGCTACCATAAATGCTCTGTTCACCCCGTGGCTTTCATCCAATTTGCAGAGTGCCACCTAAAAGCTCCACATCCTGTGGACAACAGGAGAAACTCCAGTTAAGTTGGCAATTCTAGTATTAAGAATGGAGACATTAACTATTACTAATTTGACCTGGGGAAAAGGGGTTTAACAAAAGCACAGCGAGTGGCCTTCTTTGGTGCAATTCCTTCAAGACTATAATACATGTGGTTATGCTTGCATTTTTCCTAGCACTACATTTGAAGATGCAGCTTTACTGTGACACCAGCTTTATACAGGGGTTTTGTTTTGCTTTGGGGTGTGTTTTTTTTTTTTAAGTCTTCCTCCCCAGTTAGCCATATGAAGAAATTCTTTCCTTTGAGGCAGTAAGTTAGGATGACCTCCCCTTAGTATTCTTAGTCCAGGAGAGCTAAAATTAGTGGAAAGATTGGATGGGGTGGCGCAGCTCACTGAGAAAGCAGTGAGTGCCATGCGACATAGCGGGTATGTTGCCCGGGAAGAGATAAGTGAGGGTCAAAGTACTGCTTATCTTGGAACTGTGACAGCGTGGATGAAAGGGACTTTCTAAACCATTTCTGAGCTTCCTCATCCATGTAGTCACCCTACGTTAGCAGACAGTAGTGAAATCCTAGGTTTTATTTGAAGTCCTTATAGCCTCTGCTCCAGCTGCTTTCATGATTCCTACCCTAATTCAAACAGCGATCTGTTGCTGAACCTTGGCAAAGGCAGGCAGACATAAACAAGACAGGCTCCCGTTTTGTTCCTGAACCGATCCACAGAAAGGATGAAAATAGTTTTGGAAGTCTACTGATTTTACAAGACCTATTAGGTTCCCCCTCATGTTCAATCATCTGTTTTCCCATGTTGGTGTGGAAAATACACAACACTTAAGGTCTCAAAAAAAAACCAACCAGCCCCCCCCAAAAAAACTATCACCATTGCTGCACCTGCTTCATCTTGAACATTTTAGCCTAGGACATACATACCCGCACTATTTTAGAATCACCAGATAATCATTCCCTGAGCAGGTCTCACCAGCATCATGTTAAACAGCAGGAAGACAGCTCCTAGCCCACATTCATGAATGTTCCTGCTACCTGCTAACCATTAGTTGAGCAAATAAAGGAAAAAATCAGTATTGTTTTCTGACATCCAGGATTTCTTCAGTAGGTAGGGATTTTGTACTGTACGAACTCTTCTAACATTAGAAATTGAATCACCGCAAGGTCCCTTACGGTCAGTCTGTGCTTCTGGGATGTATTTTTGTAACACTTAGGAGACAGTAGCAATAAACAGTAGTTTTTAAGTCTTTCTCCTCAGTTAACCATATCAAGAAATTCTTTCCTTTGAGGCAGTAAGTCAGGAAGCCTTGCAAAAAAAGGTCCAGAAAATGTGGTTACTAAGGTTTTTTGCTTGGCTTTTGCTAGGGGTGTTAACAGCTGAGGCTTGAAAAAGGAAAGGCCCAAGTTTACCTACGCATCTCCTTCTCTGGGTTACCAGAAGAACTTTGTTTGACTAGGAAATACAAAACAAAATCTGTTTGTTGGCACAAACAACAGTAAAGCTGCATCAATTAAAAAAAAAAAAAAAAAAAAAAAAGAGGCTAGCATGAGAAGTGGTTTAATTAAAAAAAAAATCCAACAGTTCCCCAGGAAGCCATACTCTTTTGGGAGACTAAGCATCTCATTTTGAGTTTACTCCAAACTGAACATCTAATCAAAATAGGTAACGCTATAGCATTTTCAAGTTGCCTTTAGCAGGGTAAGTTTCATTTAAGTCTAAATCAGCATCAGGCTCCATGGCAAAACCTCAATGACAGTTTAGTCATACTTCAAACAGTTTTAAAAGTCTCTTCAAAATTCAGATAGGTTGTTTCAGTACTGGAATCATTAGAATAAATAATAGAATACAGATTACATAGTGACTGGTTTGTTAATCATAATTCAGGTAATAAAATATCCACTGCATCCTGCTCAAAGCAGCATTTTTTAAAGACAGTATCAAGATAAGTCAATGCATAATGAAGCTTTCCCTCCTACAAATATGTAAACAGGTTGACAGCAAGTTATTATTACAATATAAAAATTAAAGCTTACATTGCATTTTTTTAAAGCTAACTTCAGTCTCAATGTAAACAGTCTCTGGTCTGTAGCATTTAAAAATAGGAGTTCTTGAAAAATGTTAAAGTACCACCTTTGCAGATACACATTTTTGTAGAAAAATACTTAAAAATACCAACTTCCCATTAATAAAAGCAACACCAAAACACATTTTTTGTCATGACCAGTGTGTTAAATGCATCTTTTGAGTTTACTCCAAACTGAACATCTAATCAAAATAGGTAACGCTATAGCATTTTCAAGTTGCCTTTAGCAGGGTAAGTTTCATTTAAGTCTAAATCAGCATCAGGCTCCATGGCAAAACCTCAATGACAGTTTAGTCATACTTCAAACAGTTTTAAAAGTCTCTTCAAAATTCAGATAGGTTGTTTCAGTACTGGAATCATTAGAATAAATAATAGAATACAGATTACATAGTGACTGGTTTGTTAATCATAATTCAGGTAATAAAATATCCACTGCATCCTGCTCAAAGCAGCATTTATTAAAGACAGTATCAAGATAAGTCAATGCATAATGAAGCTTTCCCTCCTACAAATATGTAAACAGGTTGACAGCAAGTTATTATTACAATATAAAAATTAAAGCTTACATTGCTTTTTTTAAAGACAGTATCAAGATAAGTCAATGCATAATGAAGCTCCCTCCTACATCCTGCTCAAAGCAGCATTTATTAAAGACAGTATCAAGATAAGTCAATGCATAATGAAGCTTTCCCTCCTACAAATATGTAAACAGGTTGACAGCAAGTTATTATTACAATATAAAAATTAAAGCTTACATTGCATTTTTTTAAAGCTAACTTCAGTCTCAATGTAAACAGTCTCTGGTCTGTAGCATTTAAAAATAGGAGTTCTTGAAAAATGTTAAAGTACCACCTTTGCAGATACACATTTTTGTAGAAAAATACTTAAAAATACCAACTTCCCATTAATAAAAGCAACACCAAAACACATTTTTTGTCATGACCAGTGTGTTAAATGCATCTAGCATTTACTCCACCACTCTGTTTAACAAAATTATCTTCTGTTCATTTTAAAATTCATTATAATTTGCAAAAAGTATCTTGGAAAATATTCAGTTACTTTCACATAGCAAAGCAATTAGCATTAAGTAGCTAATATTGGCAATTACCTTGTAATCAGAGTCTGGCCTAAGTTTATTTGCAACCGAGGCCATCAATTTAATCCTCATCTCAAACTGTGTATTTTAACATGTACAGTAGGGTCTTGCTAAGAAATCTGACTCAGTTCAGATATATTTTGGAAAGGCTTGAAACCTTTGTATGATTTAACAAGAAATACGTATTCTCTTTCAAAGTACCTTTAACCTCTATGTAAGTTTTTCTTTAAGTATATTAGCAGTCCTGTTGGTGGCTGTCAGTCAATTCTCAGGAAACGCTTTGTTCATAAGATTATATAATTTGACACGAACTACATTTTACATTCCAAAACCAAAAAGAATGTTAAGTTAAATTTTCATTTTTGTTTAACATTTTTCCAAGAAGTTCACTGGCAAGAGCTAGACAGATCACTTTTGCAGTTGCTAAGGCAAAAAGTTTGAAAATTCCCTGTACACAAAGTTTAAAAGATTGTGTAATATTTCAAAACCAAACTAAACTAAATTCAACAAGCAGAGAGAAATGCGTATCATTGGGATGAAAGCTAATCATGCCATTGTGCCCTGCCAAGCATCAGCTGACAACGAACAGCAAGGAAAAAAAATTAAGATAATATAGCAAACCAGTTTCAGGATGAATTCAAAGAGCAAAACCGAGCTGTCAAGAAAAGAATTTTACAGTAGGACTAGACTAAAAAAAAAACAGGTAGGAAAACGCTGGAACTTCTATCACTTAAGACAGTATCTGAGAGAACACAAGTACATTTATATGCAAACAGTAATGAATATGAGTAATACTGCCAGCTTTCCTAGTTCCATACATAGTTCAGAAAAAGGAGAGTTTATTTAGCCTTTGTCACTACTTAATGAGCAAGTTAAGTCTGCCATAAGTAACAGCCTCAAGTACATAACGACACGTACAGCAACTTACTGACCACGAGTGTGGTAGAGCCTAAACTACTCAAATGATCTCTGGCCCATGAAATGTGAAAAGAACACAACCCTGAAACAGGATCTACATTAATCTGTAACAGGAACTGTAATTCTGAAAGAAGGGCTTACCCTGCTCCTTCATGCAGGATTCTGATTTGTAGAAAGATGACAATTTTATTGCCATGTTTGCCATTAAAACAAACATAATGAGTTAAAGCAAGATGTGGCAGCAAGTGCTCAAGGAGGACGCTCAAGTGGAAAGTAAAAGTTAGAGATTCCACCCAAGGCTCAGGTTAGTCTAATTTTCAAAGAGGGGCGGGATGCAAATACAAAAGCCTCAGTTTCCTCTAACGTATTACATACCTTAACATACACACAGCCTTTCCCTACATTCAGGGAAACAGACGAGAAGCACAAACATTCCTGGGGCACAAGTGATGAACTACGCCCCGGGGAAGCTGCCTTTCTGATCACTGCCTCCCCCCACAGACAATAGCTCCATATAAAAGCTAGATCACAAGTTGCAGTTTTGGTTAGAGGATGGAATTTTTGCACTATACTCATTTGGGAGAGAGCAGCCTTCCTGTCTTCTGGTAGGAAACTGCGTCTTCGGGTAAATAAAAGCTTTGGCCTTTTAATCACATATGGACTGTTACAACTTCCTACTCAAGCATTTAACTTCCTGCGCCATCAGTATTGTTATATTTGACCAAGGCTTTGCACTTGGCTTACAAATGCCTACAATAGCAAGTGAGTAACGCAATGCCAATACAGACCAGCTGCATTTTTATCCATACAATTCAAACCCTGGCCCAAAGTCTACAGAAGATTGCTTCAAATGCCAGTATATATTAACAGGCCATTAAGTGCCTACCAGCAGTGAACCCACTATAGCTGTAACATAAAGAAAAAGAATTGCAGCAAGCTCAAGCCTTAAGAATATGTTTAAAAGCGCTGCAGTAGACTTGCAGATAACTGTCATACCTGGAGGAAGGTCTAAGGATTGGAGTCCAAGATCGAAGGATAAGAGGGATCGCACCCCATTTTCTTTTCAAGAAAAGTAACACCATCTCTCCCCATGCCAAGTAATAAAATACTATCTATGAAAAGTGGGTGTTTTCTCCCTGAATCTCCAGTAGAAATATAGTCACACAGAAAACTAAAATCAGCCTAATCCTCAGAATTGCAGAAAATAGAAGCAAAGGGGACCTCAAAAAGTCATTTCGACAAGTCCCTGCCTTGAATGACATTCCAAATTTAATCTCTGTGCAAACAGTTATGCCATGGGACTCTAGGTTATAAAACGGCTGACTAAATCAGCTAGACTTTTAGAAAAAGCTATTTATATGTAAATATTTTAGTAATTCTTTAGCAATAAAAGAAAGTACTACACAGCCAATTTTAGAATCCACATATGATAAGAAATATACACACATGCATGTTCTTATATATATATTTTCATTCTTAAAGCAATGCACAGCAAAACCAAACCAGGGCCTGAATAATGTATCATACATGCCTTCATGTCAGCATGATTTCTAATACACAGCCGATGGGCTGATCAGATCCCTGAGGTCTATCACTGGAATTGCTACAAGTTTTCCTTACCACAATTTTAACCAAAAACTAACTTAAATCATGTTACATCTCTGTAGGTGAAGAAGGAAGAAAGACACAAACAAAACAACAACAACAACAACAACAACAAAAAAAACCACAAAAAAACACACACGAGAAAAAACCACAAAGCCTTGCAATACATAGAAAGGCACCTGATAATATTGTTAAGTGTTAGTAGCAGTTCTCTACAGCATCCTAAGTGTACTTAAGCAATCAAGGTAAGTTTAAAAAAGATCATGAAATACAAGAATTGCTGGCATTCAAAAGATAAGTCTAACCTACCTAAGAAGTCACTAAAATTACATGTGCAGCTGTAAATCGGTAAGTGTGCAAAACTATACAGTTTTGCATAAAGTGCTAAATGTACCCCCAGTTTGCACCTATTAGTATTATGTAAGTTTCTTAAGCTTGGCAATATGATGCAAGAAGATGATCTTAAGGACGTACCGTATCTACCTTGTCTTCCCTTTTCCTTCCCCACCATCATCCACTGTCCTTTAAACTATAAATTTTTAAATTACACAAAGGCCTTTTCAGGAATTGTAGTTCAGAAAAATATTTCAAGTGTAACTATCTTTCCATGTAAACTTGGGGACACTACGGGTTCGATTTTGACAAGTTCCAAATACTTACAACTTCTGCTAATTCAACTGGAGTTGTAATTATTTCAGTCTGTTCAATACCTCTGGAAAAAGGCTGTTTCCTGTTCCTCATTTAACTCCTATTTAAGGAGTGCTGAAATTCATACTATAACTTGTCCAGATTTAAGTCTAAACAATAAGCAATTACAGAAAAGCAGAGTAATACTTTATCCAACCATTTAGGTTCATAAAACCAAGTCCTACCATAGCTATTCATACATACTCATTATATGAATCATACACAGATCTTTAACACTTAACACACTGAATTCAAGTTATTATAATACAGCAGTTTGTCTTGCAGGCATTGTACAATACACTTAGAAGTATACAGCGGGTCTCTTCTTTACTCTGTATTTCAGTGATCCATACCGTATCTGAGAGGGGGAAAAAAAAAAATTATAACTTAACAAAGAGTTGAGATCACTTCAGGCAGAAATATTATTTACCTTTCCACTAATCCAATCTAGTAAGCATTTTACATGTGCTTTGGACACTCCACAGATTCAGTAAGAGAATCTACCTATGACTGAACGAGATACAGTTTCAACAGAATTGGGCAAGAAGGGTAAGCCTCAACTGTTTTCCCAGAATTACCCAAAAACTTTTGTGAGATTCCATAGACGTTTATTCTGAAATGTCTTTAAATTTTGTGACACATGCAAATATAAAGCACTTTGAATCCTACATAGAATCCTCTCTTTGTGGGTTACAAGTCAAAGTAGGCCATATATGTATGGGAACTAAAAAATTCTGCATCTTCTTTAATCCATTGAACAGCAGATGTTTAAGTGCGCCCAACCGAGACACGCAAATGCAGATGACGATACCGCTATCTACAGCCCTTTCAAGGGGAGCAGTTCCTGGAATTTGTGCTTAGTGGTGCCAGAATTAGCATTTCAAGCACAGAGCCTATTTCATCTCCTCCTCCCTTTGTTCCTCGCTTAGTTCGTTTCATTCATATATGTCCCTTAAACACCCCAAAGTACAAAAGCTCCAAGCTTAGATATTATCACATACTTCCTTCTCCATTTAGCATTCTATGTTGATGTTGATAACCCCTCTAAGATTAAGAAAAAAAAAAATTCTGCATTAAGAATGCCAAGGTACATTGTTACAAACAAATACTTAACTAAGATTATACTTGCCTCTTTACGGCCTTTAATAGTTTTCACAGATTTCATGCTCTGAGTTCTTCGAAGGCCTCTCTGAGCAAACATTTCATCCTCTGAATGTGTCCCCTCCATCTCTTCATCTGTTTTATCATCTCCAGGATTTTTTTCCAGTGGAGTTTTGTAACCTTTAAAAGACAGTTTTATAAAAATGTTTAATAAGAAGTAGCTGTAACTTTTAGATTTTTAAGAAAGCCATGAGTTTCAGCTTTAACACACGTACTTTATTCTTTTAAACGATATGGTCAGTCTGCCAGCTGTTTCAAAACAGCAAAACATCTAGTCTGCCAGGAGCTTGTTACTTATCATTCTGCCATTTGTAAGTAACAAGCCACTTCATTCCATACATATGTAATGCAGTGGTTCTTCAACTGTCAAAAAGTAAACCATCAGTCTGCTACCATCTTCTGCTTTACACTGAACTGCAAAAACCTCAGTGGTCATCTTGAGAAGTACTTAAGGTTTTTGGCCACAATCCCCATGGGAGGTGGGTTAGACTAGATCTTTAAAGGTCCGTTCCAACCCAAATCATTCTATGATTCTGTGATTCATAGGGTCTTTCTTCATACTTGTATACCTCTCTCCATATTTAATACCAAAGTTCATTTCAGATCGATACAATGTCAAAGTACTATTAAGGGTGATTTAAATCCTACAAAAATAGGGCCAAGATTATTACCACAGATTCTCACTAGAGGGCGCAAACTGCTTAAAAACACCTGCTGAAGAGATCCTTAGGGTCCAAAAGCCCTGAAACACCATCACAAACTTATAAAGCCCCCGAACATAGTCTGGTTCTTCCCCTCTGCCAAGCTCTCCTCTGATAAGGCCATTCCAGAACCTACAAGCTGTAACACTCAGACACCTTTTAGACTCCAAACCCAACTTTATTCATGATCAATATACACTTCATCTTAAGCCAGTATTTTATTTAGGCTTAATTAAATCCTTTTCCTTTGGTCATTTCATTTTTTTTCCTGAAATTAGAATCATGCTCACCTAACTCCAGAGCTACTTAAGGCAGACTTGCTTCTTCTGCCATTCTACAGGTAACATGTCTCTACCTCCAATACAGTTTCAATTAGTCTTTTTCAATATGGAAGGTTTGAATTGCATCTGTTACTCAGTTTCTGACTAGGGATGTTTGCAGTGACACCAATACTTCCTTATCTCTATTTGTAACACCTCTTCTGATGCATCAAAATCACATTTGCCTTTTTCACAGCAAGCATACTGGCAGCTCAGTCATCCTATGATCAATGTCCTTCTACAACTAGGTCTTTTCAACTGATTTGCACAGGAGCTCCCAGCTCCGATCACAAAAAATAACATTCTACTAAGTGCAACAAAATATTGCTACATAGTATTCCTAACTCTATCTGTAGTTTGTTCTTTTTTAAAATCTCTGATGCTGAAGAAACTTCAAAGAAAACAGAAGAGGCATAGGCTAGATTTGGGTCCAGGAGTAGAAACAATTAAGTTAAACTAGCTCTAAGAAAGCATTTTGACATGTGAGATTTAATCTCACAATCAGTGGTTCTTTACACAGTATAAACTGTATCTGAGTAATTTCTTTTAAAATGGAATTTTAAGCATTTTCAAGCTATTTCAGACAGATAACTAATGCTCTCTTACTCAGGAATAGCCCCTGCACGACAGCTGCAGTGACATCATCCCTAATGCAACTCTTGAATTAATAGGCTTTCTCTCTGGCCAGTACCCCCTGGCTTTACACTGACCTGCACAGGATACCTTCTGGGCTCAATTAGCAATTCAGCTTAGGGCCATTCAGGTGTCCATTTATTCCTCAGAAACACCATGGGCTACCATGCAATTCCTGGAATTCCTTGTGCTCCACAAGCACCACCCCTCCCCAAAATGGAGGGATGAGAAGAAATTACAGGCATCGGTGAAAAGAAAAGAAATAGGCCAGAGCTATTTCTTTTGTGTGAAATATCAACCACTTTACATTGTAGCCTAACCATTTAAAAAGGTGCAATTGACAGCCTTTCACTGAAACCTTCCTTCAAGCATCACAGGCTCAAGAGCAAAATAATAATAATAATAATAATAATAACAATAATAATAATAACAATAATAATAATAATAATATCAACGACGTAAGACATTATATCTCTGCAAAAACATATATTGGTCACTGCACACCATATTTTGATGTGCATCAGTCCCTTATGACAACTTAATGCCTTCATTATTCCTATCACGACAAGCAATTTTACATTTTGAACTATCATTACAGATCTACTGAATTCATTTCCATTAATTTTCTGTTCCTATTTATTGAACTTCCATAAATTTTCATGTTTCACTTTTTGTACATTTGTCACAGAAACACCACTTAATCGTGTATTTTTTTACTTCCAATTAAGCTTTACTTTGGCACAGATTTCTCATTTCTAATTGGCAAAGATAGGAGTAATGAGTACAGTATGACTACACTGTTAGTGGCTGCAAGAAGAAAATAATTCAGGGAGCATTTCTCAACTGTCGTAATATATCTTGCTCAAGTCAACTCTGTTAAGTGCACTGGAATTCTTTGAGGCCTCTTCCATTTCTAAATGGGGTAAAGTATTTCTGCTTTCCCACTTTTGTCTTCGGTAAATTGTTCTTTCAGCTAGAAAAAAAAAATAGATAGATACTTACCTGAAGATTCACTTGCAGAGGCTCTGGTTTTCTTTGTTGCTTCTGGTAATGTCTGATAGGGTCTCTGTCCTACTGGCTCATCTCCTTGTATAGTAGTCAAATCATGCATACTGAAACTTCTCAGTTTCTCAGTTATTGCACCTTGACTCTGAAATACAACAACAGGATCTTTGAAAACAAAGCAGAGGTTTAACTTTGCTGTTCAAGCTGGGTTAAGACGTTTAAGCCCATGCCTCCTTGTTGCACTACAAAATTCATTGAACATAAGCATGCGGTAGATTTACATTTGCTTTAAGTATTGCTTTTACCCAAGCCTAACTGTATATTGCTCCTAGATAAAAAAGTTACAGATAAGCTAGCAATTTCATTACAAATGTCCCATTTCACTCCTTTAATCTGAGCAACTAAAGGCTTTTTGGGTGAGGGGACATGTTTAAAAGAAAAAAAAAAACATCAGAAAGGCTCAATTCACTTCAAACATTTTTCTCTAGCAGTGCTAGGTAGCGTGACAGTGGGTTTAACACTTCCTTTTTAAAAAGCGTGGTTGAGGATAAATAAAGATTTCCGCTATTTTATATTTTACCCTCTACAAATTTGAATATGTGTAAGAAAGGAAAAAAGTGTTAAAAATACACTCTGTAACATGAACTCAAGTAACCAAGAAACTGGCAGCACTACAAAAGCTCTAGTTGACAGAAACTTGAAACCACAAACCAAAGAGGTCCTGCCTGGACTACAGGCTAGCAGGTTCTCTTACTAATACAGCTTTACGGACATAATACCAACCCAAAATCTAATGCTACATATAAGGATAGTTGATCACATCTGAACATTAGTATTCCTTCTCTGATAGTCTTTACATCTTTTCTACATGGACATACAGAAAGTTCCCCTTTGGAAAGGAGGGTCATCAAGCAGCTCTTTCATCTTACATCAGATGATGTTATTATTAAAGCACTGAAGCTTAATTTATTGTATAAGCAACTAAAACAACAAGCACATTACTCAGTGTCATGTTAAAATAACATTTAATTCTTCCCTTTCTGGCATATGAGGCAAAAAGTTACCGTTTCAGAAGAAGGTTGACAAGCCTGTGCATGAATCCCACTTCGAGCAAGGGTTCAAGATTTTGTTTCATTCTTACAAATGAAGCTTTTAAGTAAAATTCCTCATTTGAGCATTATGTTAGCTAGCAGTAGCAGAAATCTGGGTACAATTCCACACGCCTTTCTCTGCAACAGCACCAGCATAAGGCAGTTCTTGCACCACGGGCCACAGCCATTTGTTCCCACTCTCATGGCAACAACTGTTTGCAGATGGTAGACCAGCACACTAAATTATTCCATGTTAAAAATAACCCCATGTAAAGTGAAGAGATAGAGTGATACTCCTTAAGCTTGCATGGCCACCAAAGGTGGGGGGG